CCCCTTCCCTCAGCATCCCACGGGGTCACCCTGATGTGTGGGGGGAGCAGAGGAAGGATTCTTCACCCGGACATGGCCACTCTGGATCCAGGGAAACGGGGATGAGGGGAAAAAGGTCCAATTCAGAGCAATTTCCTCTCTTGTGCTGTCAATTAATTTGTCAGTCCCTCTTCCAGAGGGACAGTGGACAGAGCCACACTTTCAATTTGAGGCCCTTGAACATTCTTTTGGCTCTGGCCTTAAGTGCTTCATTGAACCAGGGCCCGGGAGGTCTCATTGTTCAGAGGCTGTTCTCAATTGTATCTATGTGCTCTTTTCCTTGGCTTCCAACGAAGAGTTGGAGCCAAAGACTCCCCTAGTGCCATGCCAAGACAAGAAGGAGCCAGGTTCTCTACTGGACCTCTTCCAAGGGCTTGGGATTGTGCACTGCCATTATTCCATAGCAGTATGGCACCCATGCTCCAGCAACACCCAGGGCTGAGATGGATGGAGTGATTCAGAAAGAAAAAAGATATTTAGGTATTTGTAGGGGGGAAAAACTCTCAAAAAACACTTTACCTTGAGCATTTTTAGAAGCTTTTCTGTGGGAATAAAATTAATCCAAATCAATTATATTATGGGATTATACTACTTTTAATTTGTTTTTGTTCTAGTAGTTCACAACCTGAATCCCAAAAGCCACAAAATGCTGATGTCCCCCCGCAGTGCTCTCTGGGGTCTCCGCACGTGGAGCACACGCTGCTCACCTGTCAGCACCTCTGCTTCACTCTCAACCCTCCTGAACAGCTTTTTGGCAATGCCTTCAGCATCCCTCCCCTGGGCACACCCAGAGCTGCTCCCCCTGTCCCTGCCTGCAGCACTGCTCAGTCAGAGAGCAGAGCACCACAGGCCTGGGGCACGGCCCTGCCTGAGCCCAGCCACCACTGGGCACTGCAGGGCAACCCCTGCCTCTCCCAAAGCTCCCTCTCTGCTCGGGGCATCCGTCCCGGTAACACCTATTGCCATGTTCCCTCTAGTCCTTGGCAGATGGAGGGAGCACCAGGCCTCCAGATTCACAAGAAAAGGGGACCCTATTCCCTGTTCTGTGCAGGAGTTAGTGACTCTCAAGGAGAAAGAAGGTGAACGTAGGAGGAAAATGCTGTGTGGTGTCCTAAGGATTTATACCAGCCAGCAAAAGTGCTGAGAGCTCACTTAGAGCTCCCACCAAAAAATCGAAGGGATGTCAGGATGGGAAAGGTGCAAATGCACCTGCTGGTGACAGTGAAAAAATAAAGGACACTTTTAAATGCATTTTTCATATTAATTCCCAACACAAAAACCCAGATCACATCACCCTTTGAGAGCTGCACGTCCCTAGCTGTGTCCCTCTCCAGCTCTGTGCTGCGGAATGTTGGGGTGTGCAGATCCCAGTGCTCAGGCAGTGCTCCACAGGGGCAGATCCCAGTGCTCAGGCAGTGCTCCACAGGCACAGATCCCAGTGCTCCACAGGCACAGATCCCAGTGCTCAGGCAGTGCTCCACAGGCAGTGCTGTCGCTGTGCTGAGCACACCTGGCTGTTGTGTTCCAGCCCCTTCCTTCCCTCAGCCCGGTGCTCCTCCCACACCTCCCTCCTGCTTTCCACAGACACAGTCAGAAAACTTTATTTACAGTATTTGTTAACAATAAAAATCCATGCTGTGAGCATGCCCTGTGTGCTACAGAGCAAAGCAATGGCACTGGAATGGTGGGAGACTCCGTGGGATGTGTGGTGACCCCAGAGCAGAGCCCGGCCTTGGGGACTCGACAGGAGTGTCCCTGTCACAGCCCCACAGAGCCCAGCGTGGATCCCACACACCTGCCAAAGAGAAGCTGCTGAGCACACTCGGGCTGGCATTAGTGCCCACACCCATGGCCCCAGCCATGCTCCCTCCAGGCTCCTCCAAACTCCTGCACAGCCTCACTGGGCACCGGGAGCAGAGCTGGGGGAGGGATCCCCAGCACACAGCGCTGTGCCCTGCAAAGCTGGTCCCCACTGCCCCCAGGAGTGCCCTGCTCTGTGCCCCTGGGCAGGGGAGCAGGGCTGGCACAATGCAGGGATGCAGGGATGCAGGGATGCAGGGATGCAGGGGTGAGGCTGCCTCTGCCCCACAGGCTGCGAAGCAAGTGTATCTGTGCTGAGAGCGCAGTGCCAGGCACTGGCATCCCACGGGATCCCTGCTGCAGGTGGAGGGGGGACAGCACCCAACCATGTACTAGAGGTGGCACCCATCACCTGTGCCACCCCTGTGTCCCCACAGTGCCCACCCATCACCTGTGCCACCCCTGTGTCCCCACAGCGTCCCCCATGACCCTGTGCTGCAGCCCCTTCCATCCCACAGGGATGCAGTGCCCCTGCCCCAGCAGCGTGGGCTCGTTTGGGGCAAAACCTGTCCCTCCCAGTGGCATCCACAAGCCGCCAATGTTGAAGTTTGGGGCTCAGGAGCAGATTCCTGGTGTCCAATCCAGGCAGCGCTGAAACCTGGACACAGAATCGCTGCCCCGCTCCTGTCTCAGTTAAATAACGCCTGCCGTACATGCTTACAGACATATATACACCTATTTATACAGACCCCCCAGCACGTCCAGGTCCCAGTTTTCCACAGGGAAGCTCTGGAAGCAGCAAGTCGGCGGCACAAGGTCCCGGCTGGCGATGCCTCACGTTGGGGATGGGTGAGCGAAGCTCCTCTGGCTCGTGCTCCTGCAGCTGAGGACGAAGGAGGAGGAGTTGCTCTTCTTGCTCAGGTCACACGCCGGCTGCGACTTCAGGTAGCGCGTGGAGCAGCAGAGGAAGCGCCGCATCAGGTCGTGGAAGAGGTGGCCGGTGTAGAGCATGTAGATCCAGGGGTTGCAGCAGCTGTTGAGGCTGGCCAGGAGCATGGCGATGATGAACGGGGAGGCTGCGGGGCAGAGGCAGCGTCAGGGCACGGCACCGAGAGCCCCAGCCCTGCCGGCACCACCACACCCCTCCCCAGCCCGGGATGTGCCTCCCTCCCTGCGGGAACACCGCGGCAGGAAGGGGGAGCTGATAAATCCAAAGGAGGAGGAAAGTCTCGGTTGAAGCACACTGGGTTTAGGTTTTTCACAAAAAAAGCTGCATTTCCTGCTCGGCTCCAGCACTGCCGCCTGCCCAGCATTGCCTGGAGTGCCTGGCCGGGAGGCAGAGGTGCCCCCAGCAGCACCTGCACAATCTGCCCCTACAGTGCCCAAAGCCAGAGAAAGGGAGCGTGGCCCTTGCCCTTGCCATGGCAAAGAGCAGGGCCGGGAGCAGGAAGAGCCGGTGGCTCATTTCCCACCCCCCAGCAGCCAGTTTGGGGCAGACAAGCAGCTTCCACCCCCTCAGGCCATGTGGCAGCCACGCTCCCCCAGCCCCAGGGCACCCCCTGCTCCTGGGCTGTTCCTCCTGCCAAACCCTGACTGGCACCACAGTGCCCTGTCTGAGCCCTTTTGCCTGGACCTCCCACAGCATCTGTCTCCCAGCATCTTTCTTTCCCCAAAATTAATTTTTCTCCCACTGCACTCTGCCAAGAGAGATGACAGCCATTCCCACACCAGGAACAGAGTCCAGGAGCCTGGCAATGGCTCCTGGCCACAGGGGTGACCTTTGAGACCAGGAGGATGGTGGCAGTGCAGTTCCAGGACATCAAGTCTCTGGTTGCTGCTCTCTGGCCCCAGAGCACAAAGTACCGATTGTCCCATCTGAGAGGATGGATCAGCACCTCCTGTGACAAGGGGACGGTGGGACTGGCACCTCCCGTGGCACCAGGACAAGGTGGGACAGCCCCTCAGTGAGGTGGCTGCAGGCAGGGATGGAACCTTTATCCTGCTCCCCATCTTCCAGCCCATCTCCTCAGCTCCTCTGCTCCCAGGGAAGCTCCAGCAGTGAGGACACACATGGTGGTTTGGCTGTTCCTGGTCCCTTCCTGCCTCTGCAAAAATCCACTGGCAGTTTTTAAACCAGTGAAGAAGTGTGAATATGAATGCTTCCAAATTCACTTTTAGCCAATGGATGCGTAATTCCTGCTCTAGTGATGTCTGCTCCAACCGCTTTTAATTTCAAGCATATGCTAAAATAATTCCATGGGGAATGGCCACAAATCCCAGGCACAAGACCTGAAATACATCACAGCATTTCTATCCACTTAAAAACATCCAGCCAGGCTGACTCAGCTCTTCCCTCTCTGCGAGAGGCAAATTGAATTTCAGGGAGCTCACTGCAGGGCACGTCCAGAGGGTGGATTGGTCCCCTCTCTGGCTGGAACGCTGGAGATTCCCGAGGGGTGCTGCACCCGGCGAGCTCTGCCCCTCAGGGATGTTTCCTCTCCCCATATCCCCCACTCCAGGCTGGGGGTGCCCAGAGGGGTGGGCAGAGGTGGAGGCTGTGCCCTGGCAGGGCTGCAGGGGCTCTGCTGCAAACACCCAGTGCAGGAGTGGGATGGGATGGGATGGGGTGGGATGGGATGGGATGGGATGGGATGGGATGGGATGAGGAAGGCTTCCCAATTCCCACACACTGACACAGGGCATCGCTCCCAGCCCACGTCAGGGCACCAGACCCCGAGCTGAGGGGACCAATACCAGGGTCACAGCACCTCACAGCCTCACTGTTCCCTCCCGGGTGCCTTGAGCCAGCTCTGACTCCGAGCTCAGAATGCCGTGGGTGTTCCTGGAAGGTGTGTGCAGCAGGAACCTCCTTCCCACCTGCGGCCTGTGGAGGACCCCTGGTGCTTAAACTGCCACCAGGATGTGACGTGTGGCTCCAACCCACCTTACAGAGGCTATGAGTGTGTGTGGCCACCTAAGGAGGGGATCACACTGCCTGGCACGGGGACACAGCGTCAGGTTGGCACACCCCAGCCCTTCCCAGGCACAGAGCAGCCCCATGAGCCTGGCAATGCAGCTGGGCTCCGAGGAACCTTTAGGAACCTTCGTCTGCCCCATCAGCCACGGGGAAGGGACACAGAGGAGCTGCC